GAATCGTAAACCGACGAATCGGCAACCGACCTGTTATCAGTGATAACAAAAAACGATCCTTGTAGGATCGAGCTGAGACTAGTCCAAGTCCTGAAATCGAAGTCCAAGAAAGACCTGTACCATAAGACAGGTCAATACCCAAGCTAAGTCATCAGCATATGGGGGATAAACCTCCATAGCACATCCTCACTCAAAGTCATCTGCCAACGAAACCTAAGCCTACCTCTAAGCTAGTGTTCAAAGCAAAGGTAGACCAATAGCAGAATCTCCCCTATTCAGGATGGATCGCCAGAATCGCCACATGTCAAAATATAATCTCCTCAAAATTAGGAAAATTTCGACAGCGCTTCCCGTAGGAAAAGTGCCTTTCCAGAATTTATATAAGTCCAAATACGAAAGCAGAAATAACCTTTAACTCTGGAAAGTCATATTTTATCAACTCCCTGAATTAGTAAAAATTTAGGCAGCACTCCCTTAGAAAAGGTGACTTCCCAGATTTGTACGAAGCCAGATATGAACTCAAAAGACAACTTGAGTTCAACTTGGACAAGATTTAACTAACTCCTTAGTCTTGCAGCAATTTCGACAGCACTCCCTCTAGAAAAGTGCTATTCCAAAATTTATACAAGGCTAAGTCTAGAATTTGAAAGTAACTTTGACTTCCCAAAGCTCAATTTTTGTCTAACGCCCTGAACTAGCAAAAATTTGGGCAGCACTCCCTTTAGAAAGGGAGACTTCCCAGATTTTAACTAAGTCAGATAAGACAAAAGACAAAGTTGAAATTTTGACAAGTCAAAATTCAACTAACTCCTTGGATTTGTAGAAATTTCGGCAGCGCTTCTCTTAGAGAAAGTAGCTTGCTAAAATTTATACAAAGCCAAGTATAAAAAAAGATCCCAGAAAATGCAAAAATTGACCTAAGTAAAAAAAGTTATTACAAAAAATGCAAGAATTGACACTAACTCCTATGGCTCTAGCACGTGGCGAGCAACTAAAGCAACTACCTACCAACCTGAAACTCAGACTAAGTAGTGACCTTACTCAGTCACATGCAAACCAAACCACAAAGGTAAGTACTCTCACCAGCCCCAAGTTCATTCCATATAGATAGTTTATGAATTTTTTAAGTCCTCGAACCCCTATTTCCCTCTTACATAAGACATAGAGCTGGACTATTCACAATAGAAACAATGTCCAACTTGTCTTTAAGGTATACACGAACAGGTTCCACAACTACTTCTCTCTTCTTTAAGGCATATGACTAGGCCATTCACAGTAGAAACAATGTCTAACCGCCCTGAACTGTTTAATATCCAAAATTTAGTATTTCTCTGACTTTGTTTTCAAAAGAAAAGAAAAATATGGGCAGGGGACTGAACCATTCACAGTAGAAACAATGTCCAGCTTGCCCAGACTATTTTCATTTACACTTTTATTTTCTCTTTTCTCTTCTCAGTGATATGGCTTAACGCTGGACGATTCACAGTAGAAACAATACCCAGTTGCCAGTTCACATGCAAATATACATAAAGTATTTTCCCTTTATACTCAGTTCAACTTATGTGCGTGGTTT